TTATCAATCACTATACTACTCTGCTGTTCAGCACCCACATTTTCAACTTGGCCATTATCACGATCTTCTACTTTGATAAAGATAGAAACAAAGTCTTGATTTAGTACCTGTGCCATACCCTTTGCTTCACTGAGCAGTTTACTCTGCTTGTTCCCTATGGGCCCCACTCTATCTTTTGCTAATCTTTTACTATTAATATAGTTGCAGAACGGTTTACTGTTTGTTTTAGAAAAGCCTGCCATCCTTCCCTCATGCTTTCTCTTAGCTTTCCTTATTTCAGTCTTAGTCTTACTTCAGTTTTTTAGATACCCTACTGATTTCTATTGCTTTTATTATTCTGGCATGCGTCATATGTCTCCCTGGTGGCACGGTGGCTGAGGTTAGCACGGCTGCCTCACAGCGCCAGGGACCTGGGTTCAATTCCAACCTCAGGCGATTGTCTATGTGGAGTTTGCACATTCTCCCTGTGCCTGCGTGGGTTTCCTCTGGGTGTTCCGGTTTCTTCCCACAGTCTAAAGATGTGCAGGTTAGGTGGATTAACCGTGCTAAATTGTCTCATAGTGTCCAGGGATGTGCAAGCTGGGTGGATCAGCCATGGGAAATGCAGGGTTACAGGGAAAGGGTAAGTGGGTGTGTCTGGGTGGGATGGTCTTCAGAGGTGTGGTCTGGATTTGATGGGCCAAATGGCCCGCTTCCGCACTGTAGGGATTCTATGATTATCCTCTTTATTTTCTCATCAATATCCTTAGTCATCCAGGGTACCCTAGCTTTGGATACCTCATTTATTTCTCATGGATATGTACTTAGCTTGCACCCTATTCATCTGTCTTTTCCAAGTCTCTCATTTTTCATCCACTATTTTATCTATCAAAATGCACTTCTAATCAGCCTGCGCCAGTTCAACTTTTAGACCCTTAAAATCTGCCGTTTTAAAGTCTTCGATCTTAATCATTGACTGCTTTTTATCCTTTTCCAATTTAATATTGGATCTTAATTAAGATTGCTCTTTCCCAAATGCTCCTTGGCCAGCCTCATTTCCTAGGACCAGATTCAGCACAGCTTCCTCCATTATAGGACTGGAAATGCACTGCTCCAGAAAATTCTCCTGCACACATTGCAGGAATACATGCCCTTCTGTACCCCACACTCTAACTTTTTCTTGGTCTACCCTAAGGTAATTGAAATCACCAAGTGTTCCATCCCTACTTGTCCTGCAGGTTTCCACAATCTGCCTACAAATGCTCTCTTCTACTTCCTCACCAGTTATTTGGAGGTCAATATTAAATACCCAAACAGGTCACCATCTTACCGGTTTCTCACCTCCAAACAAAGATTCTAATTCAGGAACTGCATCTTATTCAAAGGCAATGATACTACCTTTGATCAAGACACCTACACCATCTCTTTTTTTACCTACCCAGCTTCTACTAAAAACTGGGGATGTTAAGTGACAAGCATATATACTTATAACTGGGGATGTTAAGTAATAAATCCTGTTCTGGCTTCAGACATTTTTTGGTCAATGCTACTATGTCATATCCCACTAGAGCAATTTCAGCTTCCAATTCCCCAAACTTGTTTACTATACTCCGTGCATTTACACATGTACAATTTAACCTTGCCCTTTTCTCTTTCTTGTTCATTGGGAGGAAACCATTTCTTTGTTCATAAGCCTTTCCTCACTTTCTTTTCCCCGTTCCCCATCTTCTCTTTTGGCCTCACTAGTTCTTCCAAAACTAGGCCCATTGGTTAATGCACTCCCATGCCTTACAAGTTTAAATCCCTTCCCACTACTTTCTGGAACAGTACATTTCCTATCCTACTAGGGAGGAAACTGTGCTGGATCTGGTCCTAGTCCTAGTGACAGCACAAACTTTCCTATTGTTAAAGAAATAGTGTAAAGTGCTATATAAATGTAAGCTCTTCCTGTTAATCTCATATAAATCTTCAAGATTAACATATGTGTATACAGCAGAGTTCAGAAGTACTGCCAATTCAAAATGCAATTGAAGCTTGTAAACATGATTACATTCTCACCATAATCTTTAGTGAGGTAGACATCAAAAGTAAACTCTCTCATTTCTGCCAGGTGTAGTCATTCCAAAATTCTTGCTATATATGCAGCTCTACAAGTTGCAGAGCTCTACAATACTGTCAAACTTGCAAATCTTAAGTTAGCTGTGATGTGATGACAAGCTATTGCGCACTGCGTTAACAGTCCTCTGCTAAGTGACATAGGAACAAATTAGTTTTGGCTGAAACTGAAAGCATTACCAACTGGATACCCGGTGTTTGCAATATCTCCATGTAGCCAAGACCGAGTCTCAGCTCCTTCACTGGATGATAAAGCACCAGATCTAAATGCGTGCATATGACAGTCTTATCTTCTAAGGGCTGTTGTACCACAGACCACATAGCCTAAGGTAACAGATGCCATGAACCGTTACATACGGTTTCTCATTTAATAAGTTTTTTTGGCTAATTAGCTAAGTACCTGTGTGAAAAATAAGGTTCTATTATTAACTATATACATTTAAAACAACAGAAGTGACTGAACTCCTATCTGTGGTCACCTTTTTCTCATATTTCCAAACCTTGGAGAAAACAAGCACTGTACTTCTAATACTTAATTATTTTAAGGATTTTTTTTTTACTATCTTGAGTATGACTGTCACTTTCAATTTGTCAGCCAAAACATGACCACATGCGATTAGATAAGTTTTTCTCATTGTAATTTGTCATAAAGTTCTTTGTTAACACCACCTCAGGATAATCAGGCACTTGCTGCTGTGACTGCTGCTGGGGATTAAAAGTGGTTTGCATTAGCTTGCCTATTCAAAAGAATTTCAAATGATACAAACTAAGTAGTGTTTCACTGTGATGGGATGTACATTTCTTCTGAGATGCCTTCAATGAACCAGACGACAAGAAGCATTTCCAGAGTATTGATTAAAGGTATGCCTGCATGTGCTTCAGAATGATTTGAGACCAGCCATTACCTACTTAGATTGGAAAATGGACTACAGAGTGCCTTGGGCATGTTATGAAGATGTGACCTTAGCACTTTTACTTTATCAACTGACCTTTCTACAGGATTGACTGTGTCACCTTATTTCACCAGCAGAAAAGCAGTGTTCAGATGCTGAAATTTAAAGAGCTAATGCAAGGTGACAAACAAGTTAATCATCAATCTAAATGCCTAGAAGTAACTGCAAATCATACAAGCTGCACAATGTACAAAGTACTTTGTTACGGGCTTGGACAATGAAAAGGAAGCTGGTAAGGATGTGAACTGTAGATTGCATTTTGAAGGCAAGTATTACTGAGGTATGAATGCACACAAGATGCAAAGAATGACTTGGAAGACATTCAGAGGAATACCTCACTAAAAAAAGGCAACATCTTACAGTGTGGTATCTTTGGGCCATGCATCAAATTAAAAACAGATAGTTTCCTTTCCTGATTCCTATTAAATATGAAGCAGAAAACTGACATCAGTATGCATCCTTTGGCTCAACAAGCAATTGCTTCACACAATGTTGTGGAGGGTCAGAATGTGGTATAAAATCAAAGTGTCACTTGGGGCAGCAGATACTTTCTGCAGTAAATCACAGTTCAGTGCATTGGATCTTTTACCTTTACCCAGGAGACACTGTCTCTGTTTAACATGTTATCCAAAATGGATACCTTGGTCAGAACAGCAGTCCTTCAGAACTGCAAGTGTCAAGACAGATTAAGTTTCAAACAGTGTAGCTGCTAAACCTAAACCTGGCTGACACAGAACAAGAAACATAATTACAAGGATAGAAGAACCCTGGAAAACACTTTTGTACTCAAGCAATGGACTGGAATGGGATGCAGCTGAATTAATGAAAGTTTACGCGAGTAACAAAGGGCACTAAAAGGGCCTGTCCCTACAACTAACCAATAAAAGGGTTTGCCACTGATATCTCTCAGCTGGTAATCCCTTGGAATGGAGACAGCATGCCCGAGGTTGGGGAAAACAAATAGTTTAGCAAAACCCATCTATCTTCTTATACCTGTAGGAGACAGGAAAAGGCAGGCTGGTGCATCAGGACAATGACGTGGCGGTAGAGCTGGTTTCCTAATTTCACGTTCTGATGTGCTTATTTTTGGTCTAATAAGTGGAGGAAAATCCATACTTCAGTTAAGTAGTGATTCTAAAATAGTTGTAGTGCTGAGGTAAATAGAATTATGAGGTATAAAGTGGGGGTGAAGGAAGAAATGTAGAGAAAAAAAATCATTTTGTTTCAACTAAAAATGATAACTGAAAAATATTCAAATATGGAATTGACTGATTAAGGTTTGCAAAAAAGACCAGAACAATACAGATGTGTTTTGCTGTGGGCTTTAGGCTGTTTAGATTGTGAAATCTGTATGCAAGTGCATGACATTTCCACTGCTGCAGTTAGACACATACCTTTCTCCTCATCTGGTACAAAGATCCACAAGACAGGAACTCTGGTTTCATTTTGGATCAGCAATTCAACATCTGAGCATGACTTTCTGAAGGATGGGGGTGGGGATGTGGTTGAACTCTTTGCAATCTTTTGTTTGATTTTACTTTGCACACAAAAGAATCTCACTCTGGTATCAAAGCCACTCTCAAACTAAATTTGCAACTGGATTGTTGCATTTCCAAACCTGTATTTGGACCCTTTCAGTTTTAATTAGTAATAAATTTACAAGCTATTACCAGGGGACAAGAGTACACTGTAATGAGTTTCCACACTATGGTATACAGTCAATGTCACAAAACAATGTAATTTAACAGAGCATGCTCTAAAATGATTATGCATGTGAAGAACTAATCTGCTTAATTTTAAAATGGAGCTGAGTGAACTAAAGCATAGGCTGGTATAGTATAGCAGCACTGATCAACCATTCAGAGACAGTAATTTGTTTTATGTAATCCATTACAACCAATGTCAAGGTAAAATTTAGCAAAGTAAGCGAATGAAATTCTAGTACTATAGTACCTGCAATGCTCCATTTCGGCTGAAGGATGACACACATTGCATTAGTCGGCTCATTTCTTCAGTAACAGCTTCGATAATTCGTGAAAGAACCCTTGGGACAAGTTCCTTAGAAATTGTGAACACCTGTAAATTCACAAAAATATTTTGTTGAAATAGGATGTTAGCTTACTTAATGCCATTGTGATCGTCTTTTTCCTTTGAGAATTTAAATTTCCAAATGCCAATTGAAAAACACTGAGCAGCAGAAAGGTTATGTATGCAGTTCCTTTAACTGCTAGGTCTCATGTACAATTGCGCTAAGTTATCATCTTAAATTCCTGCCTTCATATATCCATATTTTCCTTACCATCATCAGATATATCTTCATATTAGGTATGAACTGGTCGCTGCTCTCTGTCCCATTCACCCTCTCAGCTATCATAACCCATTACTGCATCTCCTTTCAGAAAGTCTGTTCACATGTGAACAAAGTTCTTGCCATCCATGAGCTTATTGTGGATACTTGTATTGATATCATGGCCTTGATGGAAAATTAGCAAAGGTTGATGACAGCTTTCCCTTTAAACAAAGTCTTCTTATCTAGCTGGGACTTCCACGTGCCTCACACAAACTGCCATGGTGGCTGTATTGATCTCATCGACATATTACATCTGTGTTTGTTTCCCCAATCCTCTAGAACGTTCTTCTTTCTTCATTATCTCTCTCTCTCTCTGTTTGTTCTACCTCTCAAACCTTATTTAAAATCCTTATTCTATACTGCCATTAATTTACACGCACCATCCTCTTTCAGTCTCTACAGTAAGAAACTTATCTTTTTCAACCTCCATCCCAAGCCATCATGCCTCCTCTCCTAACTTCACTGCACTCTGTCAATCTCTCATTTCATATAATGCCTCCTAATCCACCCTCTTGATTTTGACATCTTGATATTCCCTCACTACGCCCATTGCACCAATCCCAGATAAGGCCAACTCCCCTATCATTTCCCTGTAACTTTCATCCAATGTTTTCTCCTCTTCCAACCAAACTTCACCTCTGTATTAATCACTGGAAAACACTTTGCCCCCAAAGGTTGCAACAGCACTTTCAAATGTGGTCCCCAATTCATCATGGCATGTCTGTTGCCACCAATCTGTTCAATCATGCCTTCACCTCCAACTCTGATACCCTTGACCCCATTAAAATCTTTATTCCTTCTAATGCTGGGGAGATCAAAACAGAACCAGATGAGGACAGCCCCATGTAGCATCCAATGAAATGAATTTTAAGACTTGAGGAACAAGATCTCATGTTTCAATTAAGCACTTCACAGTCTTCCGTACTCAATGATGAGTTGCACAATTTTAAAATGTAGCCATTTCTTCTTTTTGTATTTATTTTGTTTTTTACGGTGGCTGTTCACAATGACTCTGCTTTCCTCATTTACATCTTCTCTGGACACGTTTTGTTTCTTTCCTTGACCCATTACCATCTCCTTTGCGTGCACCACCCATCACTCCAACCATTAAATTTCTCTTACCCCCCAATGCATCATCAATCTTCCCCTTTGCTCTTCTCCCCATACTCTCAACTTGCCCTGCCTCTTTACTTGCATACAACCTATTCAATGTCTGTCATTTACCCATATGATGGAAGGATATTAACCTGATATGATGACTCTGTTTATAGGAACATAGAAATTAGATGCAGGGGTAGACCTTTCAGCTCCTCAATCCTGCTCCGCCATCCAATATGATCATGGCTGATCCACTATTTCAATGCCATATTCTCACTTTCTCTCCACATCCCTTGATGCCTTTGATCATTGAGATTTTAATCTCTTTCTTGAATATATTCAGTGACTTGAACTCTACTGCCTTCTGTGATACGGATTTCCTTCGAGTGAATTAGTATTACCTCTTCTCAATCCTAAATGGTCTACCCTCCACGTTGCAAACAGGAAATATATTTTCCCTGCATCTAGTCTATCCAGCCTGTTAGATTTTAGATATTTCAATAAGATCTACTTCATCTGTTTGAACTGTAGTGAATATAGGCCCAGACAAACCAATATCTCCTCATAGGACAGACTGCCATCCCCAGTATCAGCCTGCTGGGCCTCCACTACATTCCCTCTATGGTAAGTATATTCTTTTTAAAGGTAGGATGGCCAAAACTGCATGCTATCCTCCAGGTGCTGTCTTGCCAAGACTCTGTACAAGTGCAGCAAAACATCATGCCTCTGAGCTCAAATCTTGAAATGAAGGCAAATGTAACATTTGGCTTCCTAATTGCTTGTTGCATGTGCTGGTCTACTTTCGTTGACTGCTGTACAAGAATACCCAGGCCCCTTTGTACATCCAAACTTCTCAATATATCACTATTTAAATAATACGCTTCCTCTCTGTTTTTCATACCAAAGTGTATAACTCCACATTTAGCCACGTTGTACTACATCTTCAGCACGTTTGCCCACTAATTCAACTCGGCCAAATCATCTTAAAACCCGTTTGCATCCTCCTCACAACTCAAAATCCCACCCAGTTTGGTGTTATTAGCAAACTTGGAAATATTGCATTTGGTTTCCTCACCCAGGTGACTTACAAGTATTGTGAATAGCCAGGTCCCAAGCAGTGATCTTTATGGAACTCTGTTCATCTCTGTTTGCCAATTGGAAAAGGACCCATTTATTCCCATACTCTGTTTCCTGTCCGTCATGCAATTGTTGATCCACGCCAATGGATTACCACCTATCGCATGTGCTTTTACTGTGCCCACGAGCCTCATATGAGGAACCTTATCAAAAGCCTTCTTAAAATCCAAATACACCACCTCCCCTGATTCTCCCTTTTGTACGTTATTAGTTACATCCACAAAAAACTCCAGTCGATTTGTTAAGCATGATTTGCGTTTTATAAACCCATGCTGGCTTTGTCCAGGCCCATTAAATCTTTTCAAGTGTTGTGTTATCACATCCTCCATAATAGATTGTAGCATTTTCCCACTACTGACATTGAGTTAACTGGTCTGTAATTCTGGTTTTTTCTGTCCCTTCCTTTTAAAAAGCAGGGTTACATTTGCCACATTCCAAGCTGTAGGAAGTACTCCAGATTCTATTGAATTTTGAAAGATTACCACTATTGCATCCAATATTTCCCCGGATACTTCCTTTGGTACTCTGGAATATACATAGTCAGGATATAACCTCATTAATTTCTCCAGCTCCATTTTCTTATTGATTTCTTTCAATGCTGTATGCTTGCCAGACCCTTGGTTCCCTGGTTCTCTCTCCACAGATCCTGTCTGACCTGCTGAGTATTTCCAGCACTTATGTTTCTTATTTAGGCCTCACACATCACCCAGCATGTGAAGAGGTCATCCTCAGGCAATCAGGCAGGCAGATCCACGACTTGGATGAGGTCTATCCTCAACAAGTTAATTCTATCCTGTCAGGAATTAGAAGTAGCATTTGATTTCTGCTGCTGAAATTACAAAGCTGTATCTTTGATACATCAAACAAAACGGTCATATAAATTCATTGTTGAAAATATCCTGTCCCATAAGATTGAAAGCTACAGCTTACGTGCTTCAATTTCTAAAACATTTGAAATTCAGATATTATCTGGTGGAAATGAAACGTGGAGCATTTGAACTGCTTTATAACATACAGCGATTCGGACATCAAATTGTTCAACTGAACAATCTGCTCGGCACTGGCATCTAAACAAAGGGTAAAGAAACACGATCTTTGTAACTCAAACACAGAAAACGCTAGAGAATCTCAGCTGAGGAAGGGTCACCGGACCCGAAACGTTAACTCTGTTTTCTCCTTCACAGATGCTGCCAGACCTGCTGAGCTTTTCCAGCAACTTTGTTTTTGTTCCTGATTTACAGCATCCGCAGTTCTTTTGGTTTTTATAGAGAATCTCAGCAGGTCTGGCAGCATGTGCGGAGAGACACAGTTAATGTTGTCAATCCAGTATGACACTTCAGAACCAAACCAGCTCAAAAAAAACGTCAGCCTCTCTGCTCCTATGATGCTGCTTGGCCTGCTGTGTTCATCCAGCCCTGCACCTTGTTGTCTCAAAACATTAAATGTTATTTCTCTCTTCATACAGGCTGCCAGAGTTTCTCCAACATTCTTTACATTTGTTTCAGATTTCCAGCATCCCCCAATTGTTCGTATTCAGATTTCCTGCATTCCCAATATATTCTCTTTGCAGTTAGTAGATGCTCTGATCCACACCCATTTTTCACATTTAAGTATCCGAGGGCAACTGTAAAGAGGAGAAATAACTCTGATAAGATGTGCAAACCTCCAGGATTCCTGGTTTACGTGTCAACACAAATGAGAAATAAGGAGCTCTGGATGGAGAAAACTGCTCCTTAACTGAATCAATCTAATCCAAGTGACATTTCACTGCTTATGGTCGCCCAGCCAATGTAACTTCTGTCTCTCTGGAATAATTTGTGATGCTGATGAGATGCAATGATATGGTACTGTCTTCACAAACCTGACTGCACAAGTTGCTTCTGAACTTGCTAGAGCACAAATATGAAGAGCTTAAAACCAAAGTGAAGACGGTAACAATGAAAACTAATTTGAAGTCCTTACCTCTGCATGTACAGCAATAATGTTAACTAAAGCTTCCTTTAAGTAAGTTCTGACACCTAAAAAAATTGAAAGAAACAATGCATATAACATCAATTGTAATAGTTTGTATTTATAAAAGAAAAATCATGCTTACCTGAATTAATTTCTATTACCGCGTTAGAATTCCAGTTTAACTGAGTTAAACCCAGTTTAGTTGTTACAAGGAGAAAGATCTTGGCCTGGATCTTTCAAGGAACAACACACCTGTTGGCTTCCCAAATCTGGCTTGATCAGAAAAGAGGGGCAAGGGGGTGGGGGAGCAAACGCAAGAGAGAAAGTGGGAGAGAGAGCACAAGAGACAATGAGCTAGAGTGGGACAGGGCGAGAGAGACAGCCCGTTATTTTAAATCACCATTTTTCACTGTCTGGAAAGTTTACATGCCCAGGGTGAGTGCTCATGAATAAACGAGCGCACAAAATCTCAAACAGATGCCCGGATGAATATTAGCGAATAGGTAATGTGGGCAAGTTAGGCAGGTTAGCAACTGCGTTAGTGGTTGGGAGCAGTGGTCAGGCAGTGGGGTTAGTCAGGCAAGGTAGTCGGTTTGTTGGGAGGGAAAGTGCAGTTGAAAGGGACAGTCAGGGAGTTCTAGGGGTATTGAGGAAATCAGTGGGTGCAGTAGGGGCGCTTACCTAGGTAGTCTCAAGGAATAGTCAAGGTTCAGTGTGAATGATCGTGGAGGTCAGTTGTGTAGTTAAAGTTTCTCCTGTCTAACATTTCTGGGTGGCTATCCATATTAGTAGATCAGAACTGTCTAAGTCCCCGACTCTACAGAGCAAGAGACAATGGTGAGGGTATCAGAAGCAGGGGAACTGCCTATCAAATGTTTAAACTTCCTGGGCAATTCCCACAGAGCTCAGCAGTCTAACAGTTTTGCAGGGTCCTCACATTCATCCTCAGCCATGTGTCCAGTCTCCAACAATCCAGTAATTTGGGCCCTTCTCTTTTGCCTCACCTTGCACGCAAGTTTCTGTCCACTAATGGCATTGCCATGCCTTCTTAGCGACCCACTACGATGCATAAAGATTTGTTCTCAGTGGAGATTCTGCATCCAGTTTAATATTTTTCACCCATACAATACAGAAACACTGGCACATATGATTTGAAACAGCAAAACTGTTTTTATAGCAACACAGGAATTTCTGAAGAGGGATAAACCAAGGTGCATCTGGTTTGCCGTTTATTATTCTAGTATTCACATGATATGAGAATAACAGAGGTGTTGAAAAGTCATTGCAATCAATCACTACAAAAAGTAGTCTATAACAGACCTAATAATGACACAAGGAAAACCCCAAAAGGAGAGAGCTTATTTCTCATTTGCTGAGATTTGCTGGATTCCATTAATGTCATTTATTTTTCTAGCAATTTCTGTCTTTATTATGCCCCTTTTTCCTTCAAAGTAAAACAAACTCAATTCTTTAATCTATGAGGAGTCAAATAATGAGAACCATAGAAGAGATGATTCAAGGCAACCTCTTTCTGATTTAATGCCTATAAGTATATTAAAGATTTATTTGGTTATATTTATGATACAACAGGGCAATATTTAGATTTGTAACAACTGATTACTTGAACCATGAGTATTTAAGGTTGGTTGTAGCCAGTTTGAGACAAATTTTATCAATGCTGCTTCTAAATTATGAAATGAGACACAGTCATTGGCACTCAATTGAAAAACAAAGCTTGGAAATCGAAATTATAAAAGTCAGGTTAAAGCTACAAAACCTAAAAGCAAAGAGGAAGAAAATGGAAAGGTTACTGTAGAAAAGATTATTAAAAGTTTAAATTTTTGTTTTATTACATATAGGTTTTTGTACTGAAGCTACCCATTACTGTATAAATATTACCATATCCTAACAATTGACTGAATCAGCATCCTTTTAAAGTACAATGTGAAACAATGTGCTCAAATCGTATCTTTCTAAGACACCTAAAACACTGGTTGCTGCACCAGACATTCCAACGGCAGGTTTTACAAGATTGAAGGGAACATAGGACGTAATTATCAGATCTTAAGTGACTGAATGATTTTATTGTTTTGTGTATTTTACAGTGAGAAAATTAGAAAAATAAAGTGAAAAAGCTTCTCCACTGTCTCCATGATTTGGCGCCATTTTGAATAATTTAAAAAAAGAGAGATATAGCTTAGAGACAGATAATCAGTCCTGCGCCAGGTCATCATCAACGACGCCTGTACTGCCATCCTTCCTCCACAGCCTCGCTGCCGTCTAGTCAGAGCCCAACCAACGTTGAAGTTGTTATTCTTCAGGTGCTATCTTTTACCACTTGGCCTATCTTGCTGACCTTGCCTCTGCCAATGCAGCAGCTGCTGATTCCGATGCCATGTCCTGTGCACACCCTGGAAAAGTAAGTAAGTAAGGGCCCTCCTTGAACGTCTGGTAAATTCTTCTCACCATGCAGACATGATTTGGACTACTGGAAAGAAAGATAGCAAGGAGCACCTAAGTCAGCAATGATATGAAATATGAAAGTGGGGCAGAATGGGTCACACAATACATATTATTGGACACAGTGTCTAATCCTCAGATATATGGAACATGAAAATGAACAAGAGCAGCTGTAGGATCTTCACACTGAATGATGGTCTTAATGTGTTATAAGCCTGACCATCTGTAGTCATCTTTGGTTACATCAGTCAGAGATCAATTCTCTGTTTTATTCAGTATTGTAAATCTACCAAGGAGCTATAATTGAAAAGAAGGAATACATAAATATTCAATGAGGGATATAGACTTCAGTACTGGTTCTGATACCCAAAAGTACAAGGGCTCTGTTCATCCACAGAAGAAATGCACTTCAATTAGATTAAACATGGAGTGTCCTGTTTTTATGGTTTCATTTCACAGGAAATACAGAGAATAAAAAATGATGAAAAATGCAACGCAATCAGTTTCTGTTCCCATAAGTATGGAATGGCAGTTTCCCATTTCCTTACTGTGAGAGTTAACCTGCAGTTCCTATTTCTGTACTTATTAAATATTTAGCAATAATTAAGAACATGTTATGAACTTAGTGTCCTGCTTTATTTGGAAGTAACAGGGGGCTGAATGTTCCTTTTTGGCGAAATGTCACTTCTGGGACTTTCATGGAGGGTTTCCCACCAACGCTCTTTATGACTTTGCATTCACAATCTTTTGCTGCTCACTTAATTAATTATGCATCCAGGTTCCACGACATCTTTCTCATTCAAACACGCGGCAGCTAAGGCAGAGGTACTTGTCACTATCAGTACTTTTCGGCTTTCACGCTTTGGGCACTATATTTTAACACCAACGCTCTCTCACGCTATGTCAGATCCTACCCTTCTATTTGGAACTCCCCCTTTTCCATTATCGTCATCTCCTCTGCATTCTAGCATTATGCCACCAACTTCCACTCAGGATTCTCATTTTCTCCAACACAACATAGACTGCCTGTGATAACTCTCCTTGAAGTTTACTATTCAAATCCCCGGGGCTGACTGTGGCCCACTCCTTAGACTGACTTGTGATGACAGCCTCACACTCTGACAGATGCCTCTAGAGTTCTCTGACTGACTCACCTGTACCACCCAGGCTGGTTGGATTGGACTCCCAGGACTGACTGTGACCCAATCCCCAGACTAGACAAACATGAATTGCAACTCCCTGGACAGAGGTTGAACAATGTCCTTGTGTGGCAGCACCCCCTGATTGACTGTAGTCCCTCTTCACTCAACTCTATTCCTCTTACTCTTTCAGACATGACCATTTGGCTGAAGCTCATGCAATGTGCTTGATGTGTAAGCTGCTAGTACGTGCTGTAGATGTAATTTTTGGCATAGCACAGTGCTGTACACCAACATGTTCACCCCAATAACTGAACAGTGCTGGTAATCATGGCAAGCTGCATGGCTTTCTGTCTGTCCTAATGACCAAGGCAATGCAATGCAGAGATGCTGTGGGCAATCCAATTAAATACAAAGTGAGTGAACACTAAGAAAATAAGCCACAAACTCCGAGATGCATCCTGTGCAGATGCATGAAATGGGTGTGTACCCAAGCGCAGAGAGAAACCTGACAGAAGCATTGCAACGTAACGTGTCGTGGATCTCCAAAGTGCAGTGAAGTGCCAAGATCAGCCATGATAATGTGGCGAGGCTAGTGTTTGCTGATGCCAACTTTGACAGACTTGGTGTGAACGCAGTTGGTGTCCATGGAGTGTGCCATGAGATGTTGGTGAATGGAGGTCAACATGGACCCTGGAGAAACAACTGCATCCACTAGGTAACCACTGACTAGCAACTTGAGAATTGGTGCTGTCTAGTTTCTCACCAGATTCGAGACAATTATAAACTGCATAGAAATGACGCAAGATTAGCTAATAAAGACATGCAAATAAATGGAAATAAGGTCCTTGCCACTTACTAGCAAAGTTCTCAACAAGCTATTGAGACTTTTAAGGGGAAAAATCTGACTTTTTAAAAAAATTAATGTCAAGAATCTGATTTCTTTCATGCTCAATGTATTCTCAAAACTTTCCTGATAACGTCCATATCAGACAAGGGCTGGGAAAAGTCTGACTCAATTCCAAACATGAGACAAGAGTCTGCCACTCGGACCTTTGATCATTTTCCTCCATTCAATAAGATCATGACTGATCTGCCGAAAACCCTTCAATTAAGAAAAAAATTATTAAATGTTCTTAGCTTCCTCCGCTCCAGTGGGGAAAATAGTCTCAAGGTTATCTCTATAATTTTGGATTCTCATCTCTGGTATAATTCTAGCTCCGCTTTATAATAAGAGAAGAATTTGCAATAATGTACAACAGATCAACACATCCATCTATTCAGCACAATCAAATAATTTTTTAGTAATCAACCTCTTCACAAACTTACTGCACAACTTAATGTAAAATTATGGTTAGTCTCAGGTTGATCTTGGTGCATCTCATTCACTCTTGTGTAGGTCAGTCTTTGATCTTCATGCAAAACAGTACCTCAGTAATTATGACCACTAAGACAGGATAACTGGG